AATCACATCCCAACATTGATTTTCATATAAATCTAGAATTGTAGTTACCGCATCATAGACTTCCTCAAGAGTTGCTTTTTTTGCATCAAATTTTGTCATGAATTGTTTAATAGAAACAGCCATTTCTGCAACTGCACCAGCAAATGACATCACTCCATTTCGGAATTGACTTATAACAAGGCTATGGCTTCCATTTGATTTATAATTAGTCAAACACTTTTACTTACTGTCAGCAAGCAATTCATAACATGATTATCATAATTAAACGAACAAATAAGCAGTGAATTTGTCTAAACAGAGTAGCCACCTAAACCTACTCCCAGTCACAGTTTAAGTCACATTTGAGGAAGGAAGAAACAAAATACAATGTAGTCTCTAATTTAAAGGCAAATTTGAGAGGTGGCTATTTGAGAATCTGATTGAGTGGAAGAAAAAACATAAACCAACTGATAGACTAAATTTCATGGGAACACTTAAATTAACAACATAAACCAACTAAAAACTACAACCCATCAAGCATAATGGACCATAATAATTGCATAAAGGAAGATGCTCAAGATTAAGCTGTACCTTACATGGAAACCCAAAACCCCTTACTAAGAGCGATTCTATCCATTTGTCATGGTAAAAGGCAAGGGGAGGCAAGGCAGTTACTGTTCATGTAAATAGTGTCTTCCTAAGCATTTTTTTTTAAAATGCATTCCCACCCATTGTCATGGCAACCCAAGAGCAACCACTATTCACATGAGATATGAGGAGAGGAATTTGTATGGAGTTCTGGTGTGGGAAGTGAAGAACATGGCTATGAATTTATAATAAAAAATTTAAAAAAAAATGAAAATTTTGGTTTTTTTTTTTTCCTATTTTTTTCAATTTTTTTGGGTATTTAAATTGGATGCTGATGTTAGTGTGCAACTCAGAGAAGTCTTGCCTTTGGGCTCGCCCAAGCTTGGATATGGCCCACTACTGCCCAGGTAGTTTGTGCTTGGTGTGGGCATTTTTTACAAACCAGACCCCCTTTTACCATGACAAAAGTGACCAATGGAAGTGCTCTAAGAGCATCTCCAACCGATGTGTCAAAAGTGTCACATAGACATTTAACAGCTAGAAATAATATCTCACATCACTCCAACCGATGTGTTAAAACTGATGTGGAATGAAGGCTGGAGGTTGAGATGTTATTTTTGACATCCCAAAAGCAAGATGTCAAATGAATATTTTATTAGTTTTTAAAGACAGCTGGTTGTTACTTTTATTTATTATTTTCTTTTTTTAATTTTTTTCTTCTTTATCTTAAATAATTTGACTGTTACAATAATTATTTATTTAACATATCAGGTGGAGTGTAAAATTGTGTAAATGTCAAATTACCACATCAACCATCAAATTTAAATTTGATGTTTAGTATTTGACATCTTCCATGGAGATGCTCTAAGCAATTTCAGTTCTTCGTATTTCCTTTTTCTTTCTTTTTGGGGTTCAAAGCATCAGGATGCTTTGTATTCAATACAAAGACTCAAATTCAGATATTTGGGTTCAAAAGCCCAAATTCCTACTTTTCTTTTTTCTCTCCAATGCACTTTTATTTATTTATTGAATATTAGAATTTAACTTTGGTTGTTGAGTCTAAATTTCCGTTGGAGATGGTTGGGTCCAAACTTAAATTTGGGTTTGGCATACTCTCTCATATTTTACTTTTAGGCCCACAATTTGAGTTTTGATTGAAAACAACTCGATTTCGATATGAAACTGATTTGGATTTGATTTTTCCTTTACATTGAATATGGGCTAACCCATATAATAAGGCATAGTTTTTGAGATATTTATTCAAAAATTCATTTTAACATGACATATTATATAAAAATCTATATAGAGTCTATTTAAAGAGAAAACCACAAAATTAGCCACTTGTCATTTTCTAATTGGTTCTAGTGTGTTAAAATTTTATAATAACCGATTAGAAAATGACAAGTAGCTTTTGGTTTTTCTCTTCAAATAGGCTCTATAAGGGTTTTTGTATTATATATCATGTTAAAATGGACCTATTTGTGGAAAGCCTTAATTTTTTTTTTTTTTTTTGGGAATGCCCAAAGGGTCCTGGAAATGCTTGCCTTCATCTTATGCCCAAATTTTAGTATAAAAAATAGAGTTGTCATGGAATCGATTATTCCTTTGTACAAACATCCCCTACCAGATTGGTAGCCCTCTATATTGGAAGTTAAGTACGCACCTACTCTAATGGTAGCTTTAACAGTCCCTAATAGGTAACATTCTCCATTTTTATACTAAAATTGTGTACTAGCTTCACAATATATGAATTTGTTAATCTGTTAGCTTTCACTCGTGGTAGCCTTTCTATTAAAAGTTAAGCATATGCACCTACCTCAATAGTAGCTTTCACACAAACCCTAATCGGTAGCCTTATCCATGTCTATAATTTGTTGTGTGCACCCACCCCCATGACACCTACGCGCATCCCTAACATTTAGTCATATCTACACATAACCCTCCCTACACCTAATATTCCTATCTAGCATTCTAGTCACCATGAAAAATTTCCAATATTTTTAATTTCCTCCAATATCTTATATATGTTTATGTGTGTCTATGCTTATGTCTATATAATCTACTATCACATATAATTAGAGATGGACAAAATCACATAAATTTTATTTCAACAATCACACAAAACTACAAGTTTTTATTTTTATATATTAATTTATTTCAATCATGTCGGGAGGTATGAATCAAAAAACAATTAATCAGATATCTTGTGAATAAAAATGCGTGACCACACTGCATGTCATATTTTGATTCAATATAACTAAATTTATGTAACAGAAAAAGAAAAAAGGAAAAAAAATAATAAATTTCTATTATAATATTTGTTACATAAAATGACTTGAGGGAAATGTCCATTAGGCTCTGATTGAGTTTGATTTGGGCTCCACGAGAACTCTTAGCGCTTGAAGAGGCCAACCCGACAAGGCCCAAATGCGTACGTCTAATAAGTTGTTTATTATAATATTTTAAAAATATAGTCGTGCAGTCATATTATTTATTAAAAAAAATTAAGAAAAAAGATCCCAGTATAGCATCATAACTGTACTATTTATTTGCTCAATCTGAAAAGTTCAGCCACTATACAATATTTAAATATAATGTATTTAAATATTTAAATATATATATATTTTTATTCAATAATATGTGAAAATTATGTGTATAATACATGAATTTTGTGCGTATTATTGAAAATTTTGTAAAAATATACGTGTATTAAACATAAAAAGATATATTACATAGTCTTTAAAACGTGTACAGAAAACGAAAGTATTATTGAAAAATACGTACGTACATATAAAATACGAGAATAAAACGGGAAAATGCTAAATTCTTTATACGATTAATAACTCTGAAAAGGTAAAAAATCAAAATGGGATAATAGAGACTCAGGTAATGGCCTAATCTACTCTTATCAATAAACGAAACTCAGTTAAAAAAAGGGACTCAATATATATTTAAAGAGTATAATGGCGCGGCTATACTATTTATTTAAAAAATATAAATAAAAAAAGGGCCCCCAGTGATTAATAGTGTGCCACATCTTTAATGGCTCTCAACATTCAAAAATCTAAATTTTTCTTAAACTTAAAGAAAGGTGATCAAAGATGTGGCGCTATTGGAACTCAAGTAGAGTGAAAGCAAGGGATACGTAGCTCAAATAGTTAAGAGTAGTTTTCCCTATACTAGAGGTCCTATGTTCGAATCCCACCTTTCCAATATCACTTGTGCTAAAAATAAAATAAACAAAAATAATGGAAAATTAGAAATTAGTAATGATTAAAGAACACAATTTTATATTATAGAACTATAAATATCATAATCCACATGGGATTAGTTTGTCAGACCAGCCTTTACAAAATATGCAAAGACTTATTTACTGTTTCACCCCTTAGAACGGACACTCGGTCTCACTTTACCTCATCAAACTAAAATTTTCTCATTTAACCCACTTGAATCTCTAAAAATTGTTGAAACTTTCTCACGTTACCACTTTCGTCTATGTCCATCCACAAATTGGTTAAATGTGATGACGTGACATGGACATTCTAGTAATTTTAGCTCATTATCTTCTTTCTTCTCCCTCTCCGTCTGTTCGTCTGCCTCTCTCTTCTCTCTCCTCCCGAACCCAACCTCTATCGCACCCACCCCCACCCTCCCCCTCCTCTCTATCCTATCTTCTCTCTTCTCTCTTCTCTCTTCTCTCTGCCTCTCTCTTATATGCCTCTCTCTTCTCTCCTCTTATCTTGCCAAAACCAACCCCCACCCCATACCTAACCCTCCATGGAATTACTCAACAGGCCCAAACCACCACTACTCAAAATTTTTAAAATAATCTCCTCAACAGTCACTTCCCATATTCTCTCTTAGTAGAGAGAGAGAGAGAGAGAGAGAGAGAGAGAGAGAGAGAGAGAAGAGATGAGGGTGGGGGGGGGGGGGGGGGGGGGGGAGGGAAGAGAAGAGAGAGGCGAAGGAAGTGAGGTGAGAGAGAGGTAGTTAGACATAAGAGATAATATAGATAAGTGATGGACGATGGAAGTGGTAAAGTGAGAAAATTTTAGCAATGTTTAGAGATTCTGTGTGTTAAGTAAGAAATTTTCAATTTAAAAAGATAAAGTGAGACCAAACATCCGTTTCAGGGGTGAAACAGTGAATAAACCATATGCAAATTAACAACACAAGTCAATAAAGAAAGAAACGAAGACTTCTCAAAAAAAAGGAAGAGCAATTAGAAGTAGAGTTGCCAGAAAGAATAGGAGGGAAAATTAGACTATGCTATTTCAAATTTTAGGAAATTTTTGACATACTGTTCCTATGAAACAGTGTAATGACGAAAATGCTCCTCATTTACTGTTGTTCTCCGTTTTTGTTTTCTCTTCAGCACAGTGAATTGTCCAAACTGCCCTCCACTAAATCTTTTCTTCTGTTCCCTTTTTGCCCCTTCCCCTTCGGATCTCTTCCGCTGCCAACGTTTAGTTCGCTCAGAGAAGCCTTCCATTTCCAATCGATGTCGAACCAGCTGGTTGGGGGGCAGCGATGGAAGTTCAGAGTTCATTGTTGGAGATGCGTCGGGGGCCGTCCATTTTGGTTTGGGAGGCGCCCTGCGAATCCAACCGACCTCATCGGTTTTCCTCTCAGATGTTGCGTTCGAGTGTTGCCTTTCCAGCTGCGCTTCATCCTTCTTCTCATCGCACGGGTTTAGCTCAAAGGGATTTCTAGGTTTCGTAAAAAAAAGGTTGGTTTTAACGTTCTTTTGGTTTTCTAGGTTGGTTTATTCATTTTTCATGTCGAAAATTGAGAAGTAAATCAGAAATTGAGTTTGGTTTGTTGTTACAGGGAGGAAGATCGAAGGAAAAAGAACTGGAGCAATCAATATAGGCTGCTCATCAATCGGGTAATTGATGTCTGTGTGGCTGATATTCTGTTTGCCTTGACTCCTCCATTTTTTATTCTTTATTTTTTATGACTCCAGATCAGAACTATAATTCTAAGAGATGTAGCCAGAATGATTGGCAAGAGATGTAGCCAGATCAGAAGGTTGCGTCTTCTGAGAATTGTGTGTAGAGTAAAAATATACTGGCTTTTGTTCATTCCGACGTGAAAAAATGCCAATATATTTGTGTGTAGAGTAAAAATATACTATCTTTTCTCTTCTTAATGCTGCTTAATTGCTGTTTTGCTTTAGCATATTTTTTATTTTCTAGAAAACATAGTCTCATCCAACTGGAGTAATCAATATAGGAACCCTCTGCATGTGCATTTTTTCTGATTAATTGAGGGTCTAGATTCTGAATGAGAACTGTCATTAGTTTTCGAACTTCTTCCCCCTTTTTACTTTCGCCAAAATGTTCAGATTGAAACTATGATCCCTCATTCAAAAAGATGACCAGCTATTTTACACGCCAAAGTTTCTCTAAACTTGACTTTCTCAAAGAGAAGATTTGAATGACTGATGAAACAGAGAATATGATTATATGTCAAATATTACATTGTTCTTCTTCAAAATTATTGGCAAGAACAACTATAATTCTAAGAGCCATTTACTTAATCTAACATGGCAAGAAAGAGTCGTAAAACCCCAGCAGAGAAATGAGCTTAGTCAAGTATCTGCATCTATATAGGCAAGTTGCGAGCTTTAAGGCTGCATTAATGTTCCCTTCCTTTACAGTCAACGTGTTCTTAGTCTTAATTTTGTATGTTTTTCTATTTTAAATTGCACCTCTTTGCACTTTTTGAAAAACTTATATATTTATTGGGACAGAGAGAGAGTGAGAGAGTAAAGGTAGGAAACCACTATGAAGTAGAGATTAAATCAAGTTCCAAAAGAAATTGATTATAATGTAGTAGTTTCCGATTAGAAACCAATTTCTGCAAACTCAAAAATATGTAATTCCCCTACAAGTTCCCACTAGAGAAGAGTACAAGTATCATGACTGGTTAATTTTTCGAGGAATAATACCATTATCTGGTACCTGGTTACATGATTGCTGCTGAGGGAGCCCATCATGGTCAATAATAGGTCTGTACTGACTTCAGTTTTTCCGCTCCTCATCAGCTCTCTGTGACACATATCCATGATCAACCATCCTGTAAGTAAAGAAGGAACATGAAAAACTTAGCATTTATTAAGCAACACAAAAATCATTATATATGTCAGACAATGTGAGTGACAAATAGGGTGCATAACAACTTAGTTGGAGCAAATGTTGACACAGAGACAGTTTGCTCCAAACAACATAGTATTGGCTGGTTTACAAAAGCTTTATATGGAGATTTGTAACTGTGGCAGATCCCTGGCCTTTTCAATTACTTATAAGATTTCTTCATATAAAGCCCTTTGTTTAATATCTGTTTCTATTGAGCTCCCTTAGTTTTTGGTGGGTGTTGGCGTGTAAGTGTGTGTTCTTCCCGTTATTGACACTGAACCCATTTTTCTGGGAGGCCATAACCATATAAAGTAGGTATAAATTCGGTGAATGCTGTCGATTTCATAAGAAATGCCTAAAATTTTCATGTCATAAGGTGATGTAGTACAGCCCGTAGGTATTAGATTAAGCATCCAAACAATAGAACATAGAAGAGTATAAGAGATCGAGGAGACGAAAATATAGATCGAAAAGACGAAAGAAAGGGTAGAACAGTAGAACAGTAGAACAAGAAGAATATTGGAGGTTGGGGAGACGAAAATATAGATCGAAGGGATGAAAGAAAGGACAGAAATCACATAGTTTTAAGAGAAGGTTTACTCAATATCCAAATCTGAATTTTAAAGAACTACATGGGGGTATTTATAGCAAACTAAAACCTAGACATAATAGGATAAAAATCCCTTGCTTAAACGGAAATCATAACCCAAATAAAATAGGAAACTTAAAACTAGAAATCTGGAAATCTGGAAAAGTAAAAATCCTACTAGAATTTGGAAAACTAGAGAATCTAGGAAACTAACAAATATATTAGGAAACTAATAAATTTAGGTCCTATGCGTCCTGCATCATAAGGCCTACCCAACAGATGGGTATGCTGTTTTTGTCCTTTTGACAAACTTTATGTTTAGTCTCTTTAGTTTCTATATGTTTCATGGACTTGTTTCATTGTGTTTCACCCTTTTGGATTATTTCTAATAAGTTTTTACCTTCAAGTGCACATAATTCTGAAGTTCTGTGAAATTCTTTGCAACTTTCCATAACCTTTAAAATTCATGTCCTCTTTTTCATCATAAGATGTTTTTTGTGTTTTGTTTGTAATGTTGGGTATCTTTTCATCAGTATTATGATTGTTTTTGTAGATAATTTCTTTGTTATTTTCCAATTGATGAAGGGAGAACCTCAAATGGGAGACCTACTCACATCAAATCCTGTGATTGAATTGGAAGGGGATGAATTTTGGCCACTTTCTGGGAAACCCTTTTTTGATGTGGTTCTCACGAAAACAAATATCAATCACCTGTACCAACTGGTAAATTATCCCCTAATTTCCCATGTTTAAATGGTGGTGAGACTTCCTCTTATGTCAATTTCTTAACCATTGGTGCTAGTCTACATGATCATAGTTGCCAATTTTATTACATAATCAAATTGTTTGATTTCTATCTCTTAATTATTGTCAATTGATCATTGCAATGAAGTAACAATTTGTTTGATGAGCGTAATGCATGGGCAATTTGCACATACGTCTGTTTTAAATAAAGGGTTGCCTTGTTCACGCGAAAAATAATCTACCTACTGCTGAAACTTTCTTTTTCTTTGCAATTGTAGGCAATAATGTTGTACATTGCTAATTCTCAAATTTGGGGTTATCATTTTCTTCGCTTTAATTAGTCTAATTCGTTGAAATAATCATTTGTTCGAGCAGGTGGTCCCAGGCAAATTTAGTGCAACACTACCTTCCTGTTCAATGCCTACGGTTCTCACATTTCGGGGCAAGAACTGGGAGATGATATATCATGGATCATCTAGTTATAAAAGACTTGATAATTGGAAAGTATTTGCCATTGACAACAATTTGAAGGTTGGAGATGCTTGTGTGTTTGAACAATTGGAGTGCAGCAGTACTAGGCTAGTATTCAGAGTCCAAATTCTCAGAGGTGACATCCCATCTGAATTTCTAGACAAGCTCGATGGTGATAATGTAGATGCACCAATTGTTCTCGAATAGT